GTTTGTGTAACACATTGAGTACAATTGACTTATGTCGAGAGATTTTTTTTTTCACGTGAAATTAGAACTCCAAAACGATGCAAAAGTAATCTTATAACCCGTATACAACTTTTTGAATCATTTAGATTTAATTTATGCATTTTTTTATGACCAATGTCTGACCGTCTTATAGTGTGACCGGTATGACCATTTTTACACGAAAAATAAAGGTCTAAATTAAGTTTAAATGATTCAAAAAGTTGTATAAGGGTTACAAGAATACATTTCGTCGTTTTGGTGATCTAATTCCATATATAAAAAAAATCTCTCAACATAAATCATATTCACTCAAAGTGTGACCGGCAGACCAAATTGTGAATGTCTGACCAAAATCTGATCGGTATGACCAAAGTCTGACCGATATGACCAGTATGACGTTTTAAGAGCCAAAATTTCTATGAGGATTTTTATCGAACACTTTCCATGCATTCTCAGTTTTTTCAATTTTGGAATGTAAAATCTCGTCATAGTAGAGAAAATATATCGAATGTAAGATGAAAATTGAGAAATTTGTTGTTAGAATCGCCAACGACATTTCATTGGAGAGAGAAAGAAAAAAAATACGTTTCGAATTTTTTAAAAAAGTGAGAGAATAAATTTTTTGAAGGTTTTTTCACTATATAAAGAATTGCCACGTATTCAATTTTTTAAGGGCAAACTAGTCTTTTCGTCATTTTAGTTTTTTTTTTGAAAACCCTAAACCTAGAAGGTCATCCCTTGAAGTAAAGATAGACATTTGAGGTTATTTTTGCAATTTTGCCTGTTGAGTGATCATCAATACGTTCGTGAAAAACCCAAGTACGTTATAAAGTCTACGCTTTAGATAGATACAATAAAAGAAATGTTATTCGAACAACTAAAGAAGATACGATGTAAGATCCAAGTTTATGGGCAAAAGTCAAATGCCGTACAACAAAAGTTACGGGGTAATTAGTAATATACGATGTGGTTGTAATAATACCAACAACAATAATAATAGCGATCTCCGTTGATTTTCATTAGGGGTGAATTTTTCGATACAGTATCTTATAATCTAATCGAAAAATATGATATTGTTTTCGAACCGAATCATGCAAAATTTGTGAATGGTAATTTTTTTAAAAAAAATCGAATTTTTTAAATCGAATCAAACTGAATTTTTAAAAATTCGAAAAACCAAAAATTTGTTAAAAAATCTAAATAATAACCAGTTGAATCGTATTTTTGTAAAATCGAAAGAATCAGAGTGAACAATTCCCAAAACGAATCCGAACCGAATATCGAAATCGTTCACCCTAATTTTCACAATCTACAAACCGATCTGTATTTATAAACTACAACATTGAATTTGTGTATAGTTATGGAGGAAAGTTTCCAACTTATAGTTATTGGTCCACATCAGCACGCAGAAAAATATTTAATATTACACGAACCCTAAAAGTAGACATTTTCATCAAATAATTTAAATTAAATAGAAAAAAAAACAGTTCACATGATTAAGATAGAGAATTGTGTTAATTACACCTTTTGTTCCTAACGTCTCTGAAGACAAGCTAGTGTAACCTTAGGATACTTTCGTGCATCCCGTTTGGGACCGTCACCTGCCCAACCCCAGGTTGGATTTTTTTCTGGGTATTGCTTCTGTTTGTTGATGGTGATGTTTCAGAACGTAACTTGCATGGTTATCCTTTACCAAAAAAAAAAAAAAAAGTTGCATGGTTATTTACATGAGAAGTCACGGACGTATTTGTGGCTGAAGGCAAAAGTCACCAGACCACTCACGTGTGTTTGTTTGTTTGTTTTTTTTTTTTAAAAAAAACAAGCATCAGCCTTTGTCTGCCGGAATCTTGATTATTGAAGCCATCATTTCACAATCATGCTCGTTGCCGTGAATAATTGCATTGCATGGTCCAATATTCGATGGTCCGAACAAGGTTTTTGTCCCAGAGCCCGATGCTTAAGTGACGACGGATACAACCAAAAACGAGAATCACGTTTATTGCGGTTCGAACTAATAAAATCGTGACACGTTGTATGATTTCGATACGTAGATATCTTTTCTTTCTCCAAATCAGATGTGTAGGTATTCCTTTTCCCTATAAATATCAACTATAATTAGCATGTTTCTAGCGTCTTCAATTCACTCTGTATTGTAAACTCATGGCACCGCAAACACAAACGCAAACGCTTCAGCTTCCGGCTACCTCCACCTTGTCCTTCAAGGTGCATCGGCGGCAGCCGGAGCTTGTTTCTCCGGCGAAGCCAACTCCGCGGGAGGTCAAACTACTTTCCGACATGGACGACCAACAAGGACGAGTTAGAACACATCTTAGTCTTATTTTTCTCTACGAATCTAAAGATTATAAAAGCAACGATAACAAGAAAAGGGATCCGGTTGAAATGATCCGCAAAGCGCTGGCGGAAACGCTGGTCTATTATTACCCATTCGCCGGTCGGCTCCGGGAAGGGCCCGACCAGAAACTGGTCGTCGACTGCAACGGCGAAGGCGTGATGTTCATCGAGGCCGATGCTGACGTGGCTCTTCATGAGTTCGGAGATGATCTTCTCCCTCCTTTCCCCTGCTTAGACGAGCTTCTGTTTGAAGTGGAGGGTTCTACTGACATACTCAACTCTCCCTTGTTTCACATCCAGGTATTAAATATCTATATGTGTTTTTTTTTTATAAAAAAATACTAGAAATCTGTGTGAATTAAGAATTGGGTTTAATTAAATTCATATCATGTGTAGAATTAATTCCACGTAGTTGGGAAAGGAGTTTTCCAAGGGATTAAAAAAAAAAATCATTGGTCGATGTTTTATGATATTAAAACGGCGCAGGTCACACGTCTGAAATGCGGCGGCTTTATCTTCGCCCTCCGCCTCAACCACACCATGGTGGATGCTGTCGGGTTAACTCTCTTCCTGACAACAATCGGCGATATGGTGCGTGGTGCTCACGCGCCATCCGTCCATCCCGTCTGGGACCGTCACCTGCTGGGCGCCAGGGTCCCGGCGCGTGTTACCCACGCCCACCGTGAGTACGACATGAGAGAATCGGTGGCTGAGGCCGACAACGTCCAGGGCTCTTTCTTCTTCGGCCCGTCGGATATCTCCGCCATACGTCGACTCCTACATCCCCATCAACGCGAACGAGCCACCGATTTCGAAACCCTAACGTCGTTCATCTGGCGATGTCGTACGGCCGCTCTGAGGCTCCACCCGAACACGGAAATGCGATTGCAGTGCGTGGTGAACGGTCGTGGTAAACTCAAGAACCCGCCGCTACCGCCAGGATACTACGGAAACGTAATCGTGCTTCCAGTAGCGATCTCCACCGCGAAAGAACTGGTGGAACGTCCTCTGGGTTTCGCCCTGGAGCTCGTGCGCGAGGCGAAATCGAGCGCTACGGAGGATTACTTCCGGTCGGTGGCGGATTTCTTGGCGACGACGAAAAATTGGGCTCAACCAGAAGGGGAGACACTCTGGCTGGTGTCGGATCTCAGACGCATTGGGTTCGAGAACGTCGATCTAGGGTTTGGAAAGCCGTTGTATGGCGGTTTGGCCAAGGCTGGGGCCAAGAATCTGCCGGGCTTGAGCGTGTACGAAAGGCATAAGAACAAAAAGGGCGAGACCGGAACAGCGGTTCTGATATGTTTGCCGGCGCCGGCGATGGAGAGGTTCGAGAAGGAAGTGAAAGATGCGCTGTGTGTAAACCCAAAGTATGTTATTAATTCTATGCTTTAGGCAAAATAATATGTAAAATCCAAGCTTATGGGCCTAATGGATTTCATATGTCGAATCCAACTATCTCAGCCCAACACTAATGTGAGAGAATCATAGATTTTGAAGATATTACTAAATTTATTATTCGGGTTGAATTTAATTTCAGACCTTTTATTAAGTTATATATTTAATTTTGTTATAATATCAATAACAATAAATGTGTAGTGACCGATCTCGTTGAATTTCTTAAATCAAAATTCCCACGTTGGGTCCATTTCATGTAATGTATGGCCACGGAACGATGAACTTACGTGACAAACTACAGTCGGTGAATAACAAATAATGGAATACATTAATTTCGATTTCCTCGAGGTTACGCAGAGCTCTCTTTTTTTTGGGTAACAAAACTTTTTTTTTCCTTTCTTAAAATTGGATTTATGAATTTTTTTCTTCTATATGAAATTCTACCAATTAGCATCTTTCTCACATATAGAACACATCAATTCACCAGCCACGCACCAAACAAAACATTGTAGACTCCGTAAAGCCATGGCGCCGCAAATGTTGTCCGCCGCCTCCAAGTTGACGTTCAAGGTCCATCGACGGCAGCCGGAGCTGGTTTCTCCGGCGAGGCCAACACCACGAGAGGTCAAACCACTTTCCGACACGGACGACCAACAAGGACGGCTTAGATTCCATGTCCCTCTTATCTTTTTCTACAAGTTTAGGGACGATGAAAACAATGGTGGCAAGAACAGGGATCCGGTTGAAGTGATTCGCAAAGCACTGGCTGAAACGCTCGTTTATTATTACCCATTTGCCGGCCGCCTCCGAGAAGGGTCTGACCATAAACTGGTGGTCGACTGTAACGGCGAAGGCGTGATGTTCATCGAGGCTAATGCTGACGTGTCGCTTCACGAGTTCGAGGACAATATTCTTCCTCCTTTCCCCTGTTTCGAGGAGCTTCTCTTTGAAGTGGAGGGTTCCGATAAGATACTCAACTCTCCCTTGCTTCTCATTCAGGTATTGTATATACATGTTTCATAAGAGATGCCATTCTGGTTGGGGAAAAAAATTCAAATATATATATATATATATATATATATATATATATGAATTTGTAATCGATATATATGCATAAGATCAATGGGTAGAATTCGTAAATTTTATTATATTAAACGGTGCAGGTCACACGTCTGAAATGCGGCGGCTTTATCCTCGCCCTCCACTACAACCACACCATGGCGGACGCTGTCGGACTCTCTCTCTTCTTGAGAACGCTCGGCGAGCTAGCGCGTGGTGCTCACGTGCCATCCGTTCTACCCGTCTGGGATCGTCTCCTACTCAACTCTAGGGTCCCGGCGCGTGTTACGCACGCGCATCGCGAGTACGACATAACAGAACCAGTGGCTGAGGCCGACGCCGTCACGTGCGACGACAAGGTCCAGCGCTCTTTCCTCTTCAGCCCGTCGGATATCTCCGCCATACGTCAACTCCTCCCTCCAGAACAACGCGACCGCGCCACCGATTTTGAAACCCTAACGTCATTCATCTGGCGATGCCGCACCGCCGCCCTGAGGCTCGACCCGAACACGGAAATGCAATTGAAGTGCGTAGTGAACGCTCGTCCTAAACTCAAGAACCCGCCCCTACCGCCTGGATACTACGGAAATGCAATCACGGCTTCCGTAGCGATCTCCACCGCGAAAGAACTGACAGAACGCCCGCTCAATTTCGCCCTGCGGCTCGTGCAGGAAGCGAGATCGAGCGTTACAGAGGATTACTTCTGGTCCGCGGTGGATTTATTGGCGACATCAAAGGATCGGCCGCTTTCTGAAACGGCCACAACCTTCGTTGTCTCGGATGCCAGACACAGTGGGATCCAAAACGTGGATTTAGGGTTCGGAAAGCCACTGTACGGCGGCGTTGCCATGGCCGGGGCAGGGGATTTCCCAGGAATGAGCTTTTACGAAAGGTATAAGGACAAAAAGGGCCAGATTGGAACAGTGGTTCTGATGTGTTTGCCGGCGCCGGCGATGGAAAGGTTCTAGAAGGAAGTGAACGGTTTGTTGAGTGATCATCTCTGTTTCGGACAAAGGAAGTGAAAACCCAAAGTGTGTTATTAAGTCTACGCTTTAGGTACAATAAAGAGGAGAGCCTCTTGTTCGCTGAGAGGGTTCCGGTTTTGAGAAAACCGGCAGAAAACCGGTCAATGCCGAAAACGGAGCGTTTGGTCAATAAAAAGATGCTATTATTATTATTATTATTATTTTTATTTGGGATAATTCCATTTAAAACCCTGTACTTTTCTCTCGTCGCAATTTAAATCCTGTACTTTTTTTTTATCCAAAAAAACATTGTACTTTTAAAAATTGGCAATTAAAACTCTATACTTTTAAAAATTGGCAAATAAAACCCTAAACGAAAAAATATATTATTTAATGCTGACATGGCATCCTAGTCATTTGTCACATCATCAATCCCTAATATTTAATAATATTAATTAATATAAAATAAAAATAAAATAATAAAAATAAAAATAAAATTTTAAAAATTATACACATACATATATAATGAAATGATATACATATATACACATATATAAACATATTTATATATATACACACATATATATAATACATATATATATATATGTTTTATATGCATATGTGGTATATGTATTTTTTTTCTAAAAATCATGCATATGTCACATATATATATATATGATTTTTAGAAAAGCATGTATATATCACACATACATATAAAACATATTTATATATATATATATATATGTATGTATTATATAGATATATATATAAATATGTTTTATGTATGTGTGATATATGATTTTTTTTCCTAAAAATCATACATATATATATATAATGTTTTTTAGGGAAAAATACATATATAACACATACATATAAAACATATAATAATTATACACATATATAGATATATATGTATCATATGTATATATATGTATATATGTATATATAAATATATTTATATATGTATATAATTTTAAAATTTTTATAAACATGTTTATATATGTGTATAATTTTATGAATATATATATTTTTTAAAATTTTATTTTTATTTTTATTATTTTATTTTTATTTTATATTAATTAATATTATTAAATATTAGGGATTGATGATGTGGCAGATGACTAGGATGCCATGTCAGCATTAAATAATATTGTTTTTCGTTTAGGGTTTTATTTGCTAATTTTTAAAAGTATAGAGTTTTAATTGCCAATTTTTAAAAGTACAATGTTTTTTTGGATAAAAAAAAGTACAGGGTTTAAATTGAGACGAGAGAAAAGTACAGGGTTTTAAATGGAATTATCCCTTTTTATTTTACAACAACAATCCGGAGTCCGGACCCATCATGGAGTATAAGACGCATCATGGAGAATAATAAGAGAAGAGAGGGTTAGTGACGGGAGAGAAATCGAGTAGTTCCCTCGACTGAAGCCAAGGTTTGATGACGACAACGGAGGTGAACATTCTGGTCGTACGGTCGGACAATGTTACTTCGATCTTGAGGAAGTACTTTATGCCCGAAACCACCTGCTCTTGAGCCTCCACCACTCTACTGAACATCAACGGATCGAACACTGCTGCTTCTTCACTCGTCGACCCTCTTCCCTTCTCGTGCTCTCTTTCTTCTCTCAGATTGAACTCTTGCACGCAGTACCTGTGAATCGTTTCTCAAATTCGATTATGAGATCATGAAAACCCTAGATTTCACATACATTTTGGTCTTGAACTTGATTGATCATTACTAGAAATAATTATGCACCAAGGTCACTGTTTGTACCAAGTATTTTGATCCATTTAAAGAACTCCCTTGCACCCAAATCCACAAATTAATACAACCAAAGTTCCATCGAGATGAATATATATATATACACGTACCTCCCGAGTTCTTGGAGTTCTCTGTTGGATTCGACGTCCTGCACTTCCGACCTCCCGCCGGCCAACTTCCGTAAGCCGTACGATGGTCGGGAGAATATAGAAACCAACACCATCACCATCAACAATCCCAAAGACATCCTCGTACTAGTCGCAGCCATTTTCAATATCCTGATTAAAATCAGTTCTTAATTATTCTTTTTAATCACGATCTTTGTTATTGCCTGATTCCTTCTTTTCGTTTATGGAAAAGATTCAAGAAAAAACAGAACAAGGGGAGAAAAATGTATATATCCTTCCTTCTTGTCTCGTGTCGTGTTCTCTACGCTCGTAGAATGTGATTCCCGTTGGTGGGAAGACGTCTCGTCTTATAGGATGGGAGAGACAGAGTGGTGAGGATACGTAAGTTGGTCCCATGCCATTGGTACCTTCGGGATTCTTCTTTCTTCTAAGCTTTCGGTAATCGCCCACATCTTATTTTCATGCATCTTTTTACAATATATGCATATACATATATATATATATATATATATATATATATATATGTGTGTGTGTGTGTGTAATAGCTAAATTTAAAGAGGTTAGTGTGGTAAAAGATTCTACTCCTAGTTTGCAATGAGAGATGGGCTTGTAAAGTTACGGGCTTTGAATTTTATAAATGGCTCCATTTGAATTGTTAGATGCCATGCCACCACAATTTTATAGGCCCACAAATACTTATATCATGCACAATATTACCATTATGTATACACACACCTTAGGTGTAAATAAAAATTCATAAAATATTATACATGCATTATTCTTTTGTTGGGAAAAAAAACACAAGGTCAAGCGGACTATAACTAATACCATACAAAAGTGTAACAAAAACACGTACAAAAGATGCATATGCTAAAAACCATAACCCCGACCATATAGCATTTGTTTGGACCTTCCGATTACAAACACAATACACATACCAAAAAGAGCAAAAGCGTTTTGCCACTAACGTCGTTCACGTTTTATTCTACTGTGCTGTCCGGTTCCGACCGATGGCTCACACGAAGACCCTGGGGACGGACTCGACCGGCTTGATCTCAACCTCTCGAAGCTCGATTTTAAGTCCTTTTCCTCCTCCATTCGCCAACGGATGGATCCCGTGTTCCGGCCCCTTCATGTACGCCCTCGCCTCCTTCTCCTTCTCCACCGATACCCCAAAACGCTTCTCCACCTCTAAATTTCCATCAAGAATTAATCAAGTACAAAAATGATCTAGAATTACGGAATAAATACCCTATATCATCCATCATATATATATATATATATATATATATGAGTTCAGGTCGAAATACTATACATATCCGCGCGTGCAACTCTAATGAAAGCATTGAACGAATCAGTGTAGGTCAAATTAAATATCATCATATCCTTTTTATCTCTTAAAATATCCGTGTATGTAAAGACGCTAGTAACATATTCTTGTATGTGATCTTGGCTTTGTGGTCCGATCGATCGATATCGATATACCTTGGATCATATCGGGGTAGAGTTGGCCGTCACGCGTTACGGCCATCATGAGATTGGGCAAGCCGAGGGGGAGGTCGTGGCCGAGATCGACCTGCCAAAAATGGAAAACCTTTCCATAGGTCTTGGCGACCTTGACGAGGTCGGTGCGCTGGATGGGGCCGGGGACGCCGGGCATGAACAAGATCCCGCCTTTGACCTCGTACTCGTGAGAGTGCCAAAACTTCTTCTCCTCGTCCGGCAGTGTCATGAAGAGCTTCTCCGACACAATGTACTCGATCCCGATGAGCCGGGCGTTGGCTTCGGGGCTGTCGTAGATCAGACACTGCCTCATTTCTTCGTTCTGGTGTGCACAGAAGTGATGCGCCTCCACTTGCCGCGTCATGTCGTGCGCGTAGAAATGAAATCTGCCCATCAATGCACAACACAAATATAATACAATGTATATACATATGCATATCAATTAAGATCAGATGTCGGTCTTGCTCGTACATGACACAGACATGGACATCAAAGGTAAGAGACAAGACACACATGCAATGAATTGAAATATTTTATGTTTTAGTGAAGACTGAATATGTTGAAGAGAAATCAAAGCTAGCGGATGTGTGTGTGTGTACATAAGATTCGTACGCGCATAGATGCTGGTGGATTTGGTTAATAGGAGCAAAGCTTTGGATGGTGGCGGCAGCGGTGTCAACCATGGAGGTCGTGATCTTGGTCGGCTCACCGGGAATCTCTGGACCTGGCTTCGTCGATGAATGCGTTGTCTTCTCCATTATTTCGCCTCTCTCTCTCTCTCTGGAATTTTCTCAGGAACCAAACAGGGGAAATCAGTGTACAACATCCAAGGAAAGAGATGGTCGAAGAGAGATAGCTAGGAAGTAGGGAGGGGTCTTGACCGTTCTGACACGTGGCGGACGTGGACGATCTCTATGAGCGCCACGTGGCTTTCTTTAGCTTTCTTTTTTCCGTAGTTCTATAAATTAAGAATTCGTCAAGAAGATACGTGTCAGTCTATGGAGCAAACAAGAGTCGGTAATACTGGTCCTCGGCACGTGTAAACGGAACGGCACCGAAAATGCATTTACGTATGCAGGACCCAAACCACATGCATGCATGTACGTGATTACCTTATAAACAGCAACCTTACTTTTGTCCCCTTCAATCGATAACCCTTCAATGCGAATCAAAACCCTCTTGCCCTATAGCATATATTAATCGCGTATTTCCGAAGTATATATAAATCAAACAATATACCATCAAATAATTTCAACCGATGAAAATTCCTCACTCAATAATATATTTTTTTATTAACTAGACAAAAAGAATATAGATATACTTTATTTTTTATATATTACCTTGATTAATAATTTAATACTATATTTTTAGAATTAAGGACGTGAAAAACTACCAACAAAATAAATGAATGCATTTTTCTTGTTATACCTTTTTGTAATAAATACTTAATTAAATGGTTTGTTCTGTTTGGCTTCCGTCCGATTTTATTTCCTGTTTTGATTTTGATGACTTTTGTATTTAAAATATATTTAGAATTTCAATGAATAAATATGATAAGTTAAATATATTTTGTACGTCCATGCATATTTTCCTATTTTTAGAATTAGCAACGTGAAAAACTGTCAACGAAATAAATGAATGCGTTTTCTTATAATAAATAATTAAATGGTTTGGTCTGTTTGGTTTTCGTCCGATTTTATTTCCTACTATAAATTTCGATGGGTTTTGTATTTAAATACATTTTGAATTCCAATAAATAAATGTGGTAAATTAAATATTAGCCAATATATAAAAAACGAATAAAGCACTTACTTTATATGTGATGACCATTATGGATAATTTCGACCTAATTAAAATAATCGTATTTTAGGGAATTCGAATAATTGACTTACAAAAACAGATACGGATCATAAATCAGTCAAGATAATCACGGAGATATCGGTTGCCTTTTTTCCCTGGTTTATTTTATAGTTAAATTAACTTATAATTAAAATGTATTAGGCTCCTTTGCGTATATAATAATACACATCATGGTAAATGGGTCAACCCTATGTCTGGATTTATAATATATATATACATTTATAAATATGTCTTTGATCATATATATTATAGTATATGGTCCAAACGCTTATATATATACACACAACCTGCCATTTTCTTCAAATGAATATGTAAGTCTCTATACCAATGGGGCAAACTAATGGTGATGATGATAATCATAACTGGCATTAATTAAATATTTCATGGTGGAGGAGCTTATGAGCATTTCTGTTCTCGGTATTTATTTTATTATTTTTTATGCAATTATTTGTTTATGATAAATAATTTTAATTAATGGCTCTTTTTAATCATACGGGATACCCCAGCAGAAATTCTCTCGCCGTCAGGCCATTACGAATTTATGTTTAAAAAATTTTATAACCTGATATTATAACCTAAATTCTTCATAGGGTCCAACAATAATTAAGAGTGCTTTACCCAAAAAAAAAAAAAAAAAAACTAAGAGTGTCACTATATACGGAATAGTTTCAATTAAATTATAATAACGATACATTAACGTAGAAAACAACGGAAAACCAACAACAAAAAATGAAAATAAATGGAGGCAAACATCCCTTTCATGTTACCATGGTACATTAATTGTCTTTTGAAACCAGTCAAATACCTTGGAATATACGGTCCGACCAAATTATATTGCAAGTTTTGTAACAAAGTTTTTCTTAATTAAATTAAATAATAGAGGATCATTAGAGAAGAATTGGTTTAATACATTCACAGTTTGCAAAACCATATATATATTCATACAAAAAAATCATATATATATATATATACACACACACACACATATAAGCAGGCTCGTCGTTTGTATGCGAATCAAAGGAGAAAAAAGTAAGGTGTGGGGGTCAGAAAATCAACAAAGCAAAGAAAAAGAGAGAAAAAATGGCCCAAATCTGCGAAAACTGCAAACGTTTCAAATGCCACACATTGGTCAACAAAACTATATATATATATATACGTGCATATGTATAACCTGTAAATATATATATATATATATATATATACACACACGTACATGTCATAACTTGTACGTATATATGTGCGAATGTGTTACATAAAAAGACGCAGGGGCTTTGTGGCTGTGTCGTTATGGTAGATAAAGTGTTGGTTTGACTACATATAGTATTTATTTATCTTTACTATTATCATGTGAAATCTAGAATATCCAAAATTTATAGAAACAAATTGTTATTAATAATTAATATTTTATCTTAATATAGCGTAATTCATATTATACATTATACACACACACACACATACCTATGAGCTGGGAACTATGAGGGCATAGTTTTCTTCATAAAAACAAAATTAGTAATTAATCATTTGTCATTAATGAAAATTAAAATATGGGCAAAATTGCGAGTCTCAAGAAAAACCCCTGATATCGAATATACTTTAATACAGTATCTTCTGCCACAACAATTTGTGCTTTAAGAAAAGAATATATATATATATATATATATATTATATGTATATATTCACAATTTCAGAAATTGGGAGGATGAACAGAAAAATAAAAAAAATAATAAAGGGTAAAATAAATAAATTGAAAGGGAAAGATGATAATGTACTACATTCAAGACACATTGCCCTTTACCTCTTTTTTTTTTCTTTGCTTTTTTGCTTTGTTTGGTAGACCGAGAACTTGGAGGGAAAATGGGATCATTTACTATAACCCTATTAGATTTTTATATTATTGCCAGTAAATCATATATTTATTTGAATATTAGTATTATTCCAACTCCTAACTAGCATATAAAAACGATCTACTTCATTTAAAATAATAAAATAATATTTCTATTTAGATACTTATGGCTTTCAAGAGATTTATTATATAGTTTGATAATTTTGATTTGAATCTGATTTTCACTAAAAAAAAATGGTTATTTTATAGATCTTCCAGGTCGTTTTTTTATAATCGATTCATATTCGATTAATTTGGTATTAAAAATTACAACCAAACTATTCATATATATTTACATTTATTTCTTTAAATTTATTTATTTTTTAACAAATGGTAATTCGGCAAAGATTTATTCGATAATAGGAATACCGTGTTCTCAATCTTTTGGCTTTTTTATTGTATTATCAATTAAAATGGGTGTTACCACAATATTTTGGTATATATGGTCTAAATTCAGGACAATTTACGAATTATATTTTGTATGAAAATAAATGTAAATATTTAAAAAATCTGCCCGTTTAGTTTGAATTCTTCTGCCGTTTATAAGGCCGTATCACAGGCATTTAATATCCTTGAAGCGCTTAATTTGTATTTTTATCTATTTGTATCGAATAACGAATGATACCTATTCTTAAAACAATGTCAATTTTGACCCTTCCGTTAAACGACATCGTTTCCATCGCCTGTTGCCCCCACCCTTCACTCCTTACACTGTAGCCATTGCTAACATTTTTAAATTACATATTAAATTTTGGCCATTATTTCGAATAATTTATTTGTCTTTTCTGTAATTATCCAGATAATAAAATTTTTTAGAAAATACTGTAAACCTTATGAATGGACAGTGGAATTATTTGACATGATATATATATATATATATGTAACTATAGTCATTATGTAATCATTATATTATATTAATATAAGTGTTTTTGTTTAAGTACGAATCAACAAAACCTTATATATATATATATATATTTTTGTTACAATGAGATTTATTTATTTATATATTTCAAATATGGGATACCTGTGAATACAAAAGAGGGTAATTCTTGTAAATTGTCACGCTTTCTCTTTTGGGGGGGTGGCTTGGCTTTTATCAGTCGTCGCCATCATCCATTAATTTCGCGTGCCATTGTTTCGGGCTTATTTCATCCACTCCTATTAATATACCGATTTTATTTTTATATTTTTAAAACTTCTTCAATACGTTCTATATATTACTTTCCCATCATAAACCATTGATTTTATTTTGATATATACATTCCGTGTATATATATATATATAACAATTCATAAATGAGACGGCTTTGACGTTATTTTCGATAAAACTTTACTTAGAAAATGATACGTCGAATGGTCCAAGGCCTCTTATATCCTAACTAAAATTTTATCAAATGGAAAAATAAAAAAAAAAGGAAAGAAAGCAAAGGGCAAAAAAGGAAGAAAAAAAGTGAAAGCCCACAAAGACCGATTAGTCCAAGGGGAGTGTTCTCTCTCTCATCTGCGGCTTTTACTTTGCCGTTTCACTGAGAACGAGGCTCTCTCTCTCTCTCTCTCCCCCGACCAGAAGGAGAAGAAGCAGCAGCTTAAACACTCTCTCTCTCTCTCCTCGTCTTTATACAAATAAGTTTAGCTTTCTCGCTCTAAAATCTTCCTCATTGTCTGCCTGTTTCTACTTCAAGAATTGTTGTCTCTTGCCGCACTTTTGCTTATTTTAACTCTCTCTCTCTCCATCTTTCCTTTTCTTCTCATTCCATCATCAAGAAGTATTAAGCCATCGTTAAGCCTTCCCTCTTGTTCTTCGCGTTGTCTCTGTAAGAGAGAGGAAGTCTCAGAAACAAAACCCATTTCTTTGTCTAGAAAGAGAAAGGTGACAAACCCCAGATTTTCGCTTGCTTAGTTTGGTCCAGTGGGAGGGGAAAAGAAGCCATTTTTTTAAGCAAATTTGGGAAATTTCATCGTTTCGGCAAAAGGGTTCAAGAGGATTTGAAAATCAAAACCCATTTCAATTCGACAATTTGATTTGATTTCTTTTGTGTTTGTTACTCTTATTCGTTTTCCGTATGGATCGAACCTTTGTTCTGTGATTCTAAAAGGAGAAAGAAGGAACAGAACCAATCTGGTCGAGAAGCTAAGAAATAGCGACAATGAGAGATGACAGCTCCAAGAAAAGCAAGGTTTGTTCTCTTTCTTCTCTCTAAACCTTTTTGATTTCCTTTTTCATCGCATCAATGGATTCCCAGTCGATCATGAATCTCAAAAGTTTATTTTCTCGGAAATGAAGATTTCATGGTCCAGGAAAATGGTTAGGAAGTGGTTCAATATCAGAAGCAAAGCCGAGGAGTTCCAAGCAGATGATCCTGTTTCTGGTGGTAAAAGACACTTGTTCTTGTTTTTTTCTTGCTTTTTTTTTTTGTCTCTTCTCACAAAATCCAATTCGAAGTTTTTACTGGGTTTGGTTGATGCACATGTGACCAAACATGTCTATTTCCCCCCTGCTTTGACCATATTCTCATCAAAATTTTCCCCTTTGTAGGAAATTAAAAAAGAAAAAAGCAATTTTGATTATTTTTGCCTAATTTATTTTCTGAAATCTTTGAAGGAGTTGAAGTGGAGTACAGAACTAGCCTCTCAGAGAGAGAGCCCTGCACAATCAAGAAGAGCAAAACTGGTGAATATATATAACTATACGTACACAGATTCTCACCTTCATCCGTATATACATACACACATACGACTGAATGATCATGCCTGTGTGTGCGTGTATACATATAGATATATCTGCAGAGCTGATTTTTCTTCTTCTCTCTGTGTTTGGTTTCTCAGAGAAATTCAGTAAGAACTGGGAGCAGCAGGCCCGACAACGGAGAACGAACTATGAAAATCCCAGGATCATCGATGTCCAGAACTACAGGTAAAACACGCAACTGCATATATGCATACACATATATGCACAAGTACACTGAACGTATACATGTATATAATGATTCATTGTTGCTGATTCATGAGCAGCATCTTCGTAGCTACATGGAACGTAGCCGGACGCTCCCCTCCTTCAGAATTGAACCTCGACGACTGGCTTCTTTCATCAGCCCCTGCAGATATATACGTACTCGGGTAACAATTTAGTCGATCTTCCATGAAGGTTGTCGTCTTTGTGGCTGTTTCAGTTCTCTCATTGTCGGTTTCTTCCCTTTCAGGTTTCAAGAAATTGTCCCTCTTAATGCCGGCAACGTTCTTGGAGCTGAAGACAATGGCCCTGCCAAAAAATGGCTTTCCCTTATCAGGAAAACGCTCAATAACCGGTCCGGGACTAGTGGAAGCAGCGCTTATCATATGCCGTCTCCTATTCCGATGCCCATTGCAGAGATAGATGCTGACTTCTCTGGTTCCTCGAGGCAAAAGAACTCGACTTTCTTTCACCGGAGATCCTTCCAGACACCGAGTATATGGAGAATGGAGAATGACCCTTCGGTTCCACAGGCACGGCTTGACCGCCGGTTCAGTGTCTGTGACCGTGTGTTCTTCAGTCACAGGCCGAGTGACTTTGATCCTAGTTTCAGGTGGAATGGAAGTGGTAGTAGTAGTAGTCGTAGGCCTAGCGATTTCTCGAGGCCTAGTGACTTCTCTAGACCGAGTGATTATTACTCCAGACCAAGTGATTATTCTCGCCCGAGTGATTATTCCCGGTGGGGTTCTTCCGATGATGATAACGGCCCCGGAGATTCCCCGAGCACTGTCTTGTACTCACCAGGGTCATATGGTGGTTCTGCACCGAATGATAATGGCTGCAGAATCCCGTGGAACTCATCGCAGTATTGTTTAGTGGCGAGCAAGCAAATGGTGGGTATCTTTCTAACAGTCTGGGTGAAATCCGAGCTGAGAGAGCACGTCAAGAACATGAAAGTATCTTGTGTTGGCAGAGGATTGATGGGTTATCTCGGGAATAAGGTAGACATTGTTCTTCATCATGACCACGCAGTTTCTTGAATTAGCGAGTGTATATACACTTCGTTACATGATATGCCTTTGCTCGTTGGCTTTCTGTAGGGATCGATCTCGGTTAGCATGTTACTGCATCAAACGAGTTTTTGCTTCATCTGTAGCCACTTGACCTCGGGACAGAAAGAAGGCGACGAGCTAAGAAGGAATGCGGATGTGATGGAGATACTCAAGAAAACGAGGTTTCCTCGTGTCCAGAGTTTAGAGGACGAGAAATCCCCCGAGACTATACTTCAGCACGAGTAAGATGACCTTTCTTCCTTCGTAGCATCATCATCAGCTTGAATTTTTGCAACCATACTTCGATAGATACTTCATTTATGGTTTACACATAAGTTCATTTCCTTTTTTCTCTCTGCGTTTCCATTTGATTTAGTCGGATAATTTGGCTCGGGGATTTGAATTACCGGATAGCCCTCTCGTACCGATCTGCCAAAGCACTTGTAGAGATGCAAAATTGGAGGGCTTTACTGGAAAACGATCAGGTACTCACTCACTCACACAAATAGCAAATATATGTCACAGAATTTAACAGCTTACATCTCAATAATCGGAGAGTTCTTATCCATAAATGTAATGTTTATTACAGTTAAGGATAGAGCAGAAACGAGGGCGTGTCTTTAAGGGATGGAGCGAAGGAAAGATCTACTTCCCGCCGACATACAAATACTCTACTAACTCAGATAGATACACCGGAGATGATATGCACCCAAAGGCAAAACGCCGAACCCCTGCTTGGTAAGTTTCTCCCTCTGCATTAAAAGTATGGAAATTTCGTTCTCGGCCCCCTGTTGGTCAGAATTCTCTAATAATCGGTTCTACGAATTCATCCTTCTTCAAGGTGCGATAGGATATTGTGGTATGGAGAAGGGCTGCATCAGTTATCCTACATAAGAGGAGAGTCTCGGTTCTCAGACCACAGACCGGTGTATGGCATTTTCTGCGCGGAGGTGGAATCGGCTCACAACAGGTTGAAACGAACTATGAGTTACTCGAACTCACGGGTCCAAGCAGAGGAGCTGTTGCCTTACTCGCGTGGATACACCGAGCTCAGCTTTTTCTAGAAACATGGAGTTTCCATGGTAAAGTTTCTTCCTTTTTTCTATCAGAATCTTGTCAAGTTGCAAATGGGATATAGCTGGTTCTTGGGAGAAATGCCAAAACTGGAAACTTGAATAACGCACAGAACAGAACACAGTTTCAGTGACATAAGCTGTCAAAGACAATGAAGTTCATAAATGGGTGTGGCATAGAGATTGAATGCAGAGTTCTTGAACATGAAAGATCGATCTGCATTTATAAACCAAGAATTTGAGCCAAGTCTCTTTCGGATCATTGAATGACATGAAGCCGAGTGGGATCGCTCATTCGAATTTCTTGCGTGTTCGGTTCGATTTGCGTTCCATGTTGGATAATGACCTGAAAACGTTGTTACCTTAACATTTGTCTCTGCATCATCAAGTGAGTTTTTGTTAAAAAAAGATGGAAACTTTAACGAACCCAGAAGAGATTTATTCTCTGTGTTTCTTCATAATTGTGTCTCATGAAGAATTTGATCTGCTTTTGTCAGGTGAGCGATGGCGTTTAAAGTTTTCGATTCTTGTAGGGTGACGGGGACGTTTCATTGCCCCTTAACCGGAAATAAAAAGGTCGGTTCAACTCCTTTTTTTTTAAATTATTTTTTACATCGGTTTTGGTTAATTTTAACCGAGCAATTTCCGGTTCTCAGGTGTGCAAAGTTTTGTAATTTTCGGTATTTGCTTAACCGGTTTCACATACCGGCGCTTCCCAGCTTCGACCCGGTTCACCATTTTTCTAGGCTTTCATTAGATTTTACACGCCATAATATTTAGGTAATTATTTCATCTTTATCTCACTTAAATTTATTTCTTTTTATTTTCTGTATACTTAATAATTCCAGAAATTTCAATAATTGTATGAGAACCGAAGCTGACAACAATTATCTTTACTTTTATGCAGAATATGAACTGACCCAATCAGAAACTGCCAAGTGGACAGATGAAAGTTCTTTTATACATCATTCTTTTATTAGCGTTAGGGTTTTTTTTTCCTTTCTTTTTCAATTGAAGCGTGCTGCCAAGACAATCATATTGAAATGCTTATGATATGGTTTGTGTGATAATTTCTTTTATACCGATCCATCATATAAAAAAAAATTTCTCATGATTATTCGCAGAAAAAGTGAAAAGATGCCTCTTGTATTGATCATTGTACTGAAAAAGTGAAATATTTTAGTAATGATAAAAAAAAATATTATTAATGTAACCGCGATAAATGAATTTGCTATTATATATAACATGTTTTCTAATTTTAGAAAATAAAAATAGGCCGATATTTAAGATAAAAAATGGATTAAGTATATCTGTATTATCTGATTGAAATGTGTATGAAAGTGTGACATGTTTTCTGTAACATCTCATGCTTTGTCTCCTCTCTCAGCTTTTCTCGATCATAACACAACTTGCTCTTTTTCTTTATTATTATTATTATTATTATTATTATTATTATTATTAAAGAACACGAAAAAATATTGTGAAATGTGAAGCCAATGATTAATTACACATACAATGATGGGATTAATATATTTCTTTTTAGATTCTTAAAACATTTTTATCTGGAAAAAACTATTTAAACAAATAATAACTCTTTTAATGACTGTAAACATGCCAATAATGATCATTTCACATCATATTTTAATTAAAATGATTAATTTTAACAGATTCAGTGAATTTAACATTAGGAGATGGCGAAATCAAATGGGCCGGGTTTAATCGACTTTATTGGGCAAACCGGGCTCAGTACTCTGATTCCCAAAGCCTAACCAGGCCCGGTTCAGTACAATCTCTAGTGGCATTTTTGTAGTTTTGACTGAAACATAACTTCCAGATCAAGATGACCGTTGGGCTTTTCAAAATTCGAAGGGAAGAAAAAAAAAACAAAGCATTCCCAAAGAAAACCTAACAGAAATCAGGTGGAAGCCACGGAGGGAAAGTTCTCGCCGTAGGGGAAATCGATGGCATCAATGACGAAGACAACGACCAAAATGAACTTGTCGGTGGAAGAATCCGAGACCAGGGAGAGTTACTTTTACTTCCCAGGTTGCAGGAAAGATGCGAATCGCGGCTGCGAGATTTGTCTCGACAGCATCAAGGCCACGCCCGATCTCATGCCTCTGAGCGTCCAGAAAAGCTCCCTCACGAGGCTTTCTTACTCATTTCGCTGTGGAAACCACTCCAATCTCGTTCGATCCCGTGGTTGTTGCCACGCCCACTTCGGTTTCTCGCCCATTCTCGAGAGTGTCTCCCCCGAATAAGAAGAGGAATCAGGAGGAGAAATCAAAGGTTTGTAGAGGGAAAG